TTTTTTTTTTTTGAGACAGAGTTTCAGTTTGTCACCCTTGGTAGAGTGCTGTGGCATCACAGCTCACAGCAACCTTCTACTCCTGGGCCCAGGCAATTCTCTCAGCCTGGGACTACAGGTGCCTGCCACAATGCCCGACTTTTTTTGTTATTGCAGTTTCCCCAGGGCCGGGTTTGAACCCACCACCCTCTGTATATGGGGCTGGTGCCCTACCCACTGACCCACAGGCACAGCCCTCTTATGTATACTTTTTGAAAATGCCAGGATCTTCCTCTACAGTGTTCATATGATTTCAACAGTTTATTTTTTAAAAAGCTATTTACATAGGCCGGGCGTGGTGGCTGATGCCTGTAATCCTAGCACTTGGGTGGCCGAGGTGGGTGGATTGCTTGAGCTCAGGAGTTCGAGACCAGCCTGAACAAGAGTAAGACCCTGTCTCTAAAAACAGCTGGGGATTGTGGTGGGCCCCTATAGTCCCAGCTACTTGGAGGCTGAGACAAAAGGATCACTTGAGCCCACGAGTTTGAGGTTGCTGTGAGCTATTACACCATGGCACTCTACCAAGGGCGGCAAAGTAAGACTCTATCTCAAAAAAAAGAAAAAAGGTATTTACATAGTTTGTGCATGTTTCTCCATGTATGTTGTTAAAAGCTTACATTAAAAATGTTTTTTTGATATGCAAGAAAATATGCATATATTTTCTTGTAAAAAGCAGGATAGAATAGTATATAGAGTAAAAGGGGACACAGCCCACCTACCCACCCTCACCACCACCTACCACCTTCTCTCTCAAGAGAAACTTATGATTTCTGGTTTCTTTTGTATTTTTCAAAATCATCTGTGCATATAAAAACATATATGTATATTCCTTTTTCTTTACATACGTAGTGGTGTACTCTTAACATTCCTTACTAAACAACTTCCTTTTTAAATTCCATGGCATGCTTTGGAGGTAGTTTTCTGTTATTACATCTTAAAAATGTCTGCATAGTATCCTATTCTGTGAATGTATCAACAGTCTCTTCCACTTTACAGTTCTTTGCTTATTATTACTACTTTGGAAGGTGATGCTGTGGTGTGGCATCACAGCTCACAGCAATGTCAAACTCTTGGGCTTAAGCAATTTTCTTGCCTGAGCCTCCCAAGTACCTGCCCAGGCACCCACCACAACACCAGCTATTTTTTGGTTGCCAGACATTGTTGTTTGGCAGGCCCAGGCCAGATTGGAATCTGCCAGGTCTGGTGTATGTGGCTGATGCCCTAGCTACTCAACTACAGGTGCTCAGCCATCTTGAACATTCTTTATACACATATAGGATAAATTCTTTATTTTTTTCCCCAGTTTTTGGCTGGGGCCGGTTTTGAACCCACCATCTACAGTATATGGGGCCAGCACCCTACTGCTTAACTCACAGGTACCGCCCAGGATAAATTCTTAAAGGCAGAATTGTTCAGTTCAAGCATATACATTTTAAATATTGACAGATTATCAAGGTGATGTATAGAGAGGTGATATTATTTTGTAATCCTCTCAGTAATGTAGGCAGGACCTTTTCTTCATGTCCTTGGTAAAATGTATATCAGTCTTTTTGATCTTTGTCAGTCTGATAGCTGAAAAGTATGTCGTATTGTAATCTGCATTTTTTTTCTTACATGCGGATTCAACAACTTTTTTTCTGGCAGACTGGTGTTTCCTCCCTGTTTTAAATAACTTTTATTATTGAAGTTCATTTCTCTTATTTGAGGTTGAAAACTTTTCCTTTTTTGTGTGAAGTGGTCTTTTCCCATCTTTTAAATAAATTGTAGAAGTGTTTCTCATTGAAATTTAGCTGCTCTTTACATAGTAGGGAAATCAACTCTTTGTCATTTGTAATTCAAATACATGTTTTCGTGTATCATTTGTTTTTTGACTTTGTTTATACTATTTTTTCTTTTCAATAAAAATAAATTAAAATGGAACCTCACTATCCATTCTGTATGTAGCCTGCTTCTTTACACTTAATGTATCAAGAACAGTTTTCTATATCCAAAATTATTAGTCACCATCATCATTTTAAATGTAGAAATGTATACTATTCTGTTGTCATTCTCTCCATAGAATAGAATCGCTTGAATTCCTGGATGAAATGGAGCTTCTTGAGCAACTCATGCAGCATTACTGTCTTTGTTGGGCAACCAAAGGAGGAAGTGAACTAGGTACGTGATTTTACTGTTAAGTTAACCTAGAAATGGGGAACTTTTCTTCTGCAAAGAATGAGAGACATGCCTGGAACTTTGAGCCCAGAGAGAACTAGAAGATCACACTTGTAATCCTAGCACTGTAGGGCACCTAGGCAGGTGGATTGCCTGAGCTCAGGAGTTCAAGACCAGCCTGAGCAAAGTAAGACCCCATCACTGCTAACATAAAAAAACTGGGTGTTATGGCAGGCATCTGTAGTCCCAGCTACTTGGGAGGCTGAGATGAGAGCATCACTTGAGCCCAGGAGTTTGAGGTTGCTGTGAGCTATGATGCCACAGCACTCTACCCAGGTGACTGAATGAAACTCTGTCTTTAAAAAAAGAGAGAGAGAATTGGAAGATTGTATATGTAAATCCTTCAGCATAGCTAGAGAATTTGCTATTACTACTTCTGTTTTTATAGCATAGAAACAGAGAACTTTGAGTAAGCCATGTGTCCCAAAACAAACAACCCTTGAGAGATCTACTGTGTAATTTCTGCAGTTACAAGGTAAAAGACCTTGAGAGTTTAAAGTAATAATCTTCATAAAAGTGACCAGTGATTATCTTTTGTGTCAGCTTGTAACTATATTACTAGATGTTAAGCACATGGATCATTACATCTCTAAAAAACCATAGCAGCTGAGGTTAAGTTTCTCTCTCTGTTATGAAAAAAGTGTATGTCCCTGGCCATGGTTGAGTAGGACCATGAGGAATGTGGATCCTGTGTAGGTTCCTGGTTAGCTTGGTCTTGAGGTGGCTCTTCTGTGGCTGCCCTGTGCTGGACTTGCTCCCAGTGTTAGTCCTAGGTGTCTTTCCAGCCCAGTGGCCACCACTCTAGATCTCGGTTCTGGGCTGTAATGTTAAAGCTGCCCTTCAAGTGTCCCGTGTAGTCCAAAGACACAGGACCTCTGGCAGGCAGTTAGTACAAAACAAAGAACTTGACAGAGGTAAGGAATGTCCCCTGGGTGAAAATTCCAGCCCGACATGAGACTAGCTACCTTAGGCTTATCATTCCACTCCTTTCTAGATTTCCCTCTTACTACTAAAAACCCGCAATGAGCATAATTCTAATGGGTTTCTAATACCCATCATGTGGGGCTATATCTAAATTTACTTCCTTATGCTTTTGGAATGTAGGTTATTCTATAATTTTTTAACTCTAGTTCTTACACAGGAATCATATATGCACATTTTAACACATTTTAAGAGGCTTCTTTTTGTGCCCACTGTCCACATGGCTGCTCAGTGTGTGGAAGAACCCTCTCTGTGTTTGTTCAAAGTTTAGCATGTAAAGGGTCGGTTTTTAACATTAACTACAGAGAGCCCATAAACTGTTATAATGCTTTCTTAATCCCTTTAAAACCACCCATAGGGGCTCGGCGCCTATAGCTCAACCGGCTAAGGCGCC